GGGCTAATCAACCTGGGAAAGTCACTCATCTAGAAGAAGGAAGACTCTGATCTAGAAGAAGAAAAACCTATGTTACCTGCAGGGTATCATTGGGAGAAGAAAAGGCTAAGGAGTAAGAAAGCCAAGCTGGTGTCAGACATATTGTTCTGATTTTCTTTCAACCACATCATCCTACCATGATGATTCCTACTAGGTTATGTTTGTCATTTAGTATTTATAGCTCAAATTCCTTTGGCTTTTTCCCCATACTCTGTACATTAGCATAGAGATTACTGAAACCTTGGTTCATTCCCTCTAGCTGCTTCCTTCTGTCCATTTAGTGAGTTTCAAGTACTTCTAATCCTTTCTCTCAAGCTGCCTTTTCCAGACTGCAGTTCCCTTTCCCTGAGATCATTTTCTTGGAAGGTAACAAGTGGGTTATGGCATACTAATCCACTATCAGTAGCATTGGATCTGAAGGGGGTAGATCAAGAACAGAAAACAAACTCCAAGTTTTCAATATCTAAAGGGCTGTGACATGGAAATGGAGCAAGCTTGGTTCCTCCTGCTCCTGGGAGTAGGGCCAGACCAAGGTAAAGTTCACAAACCAGAACACTACGTCCGGTTTGCGGAGTTCGTAAACCGAATAGTTCGTAAACAGGACTGTTCGTAAACCAAGGTACCACTGTATGGCCAAAATGAGCAGGATTTTTTACTGCCAAAAAACCATAATCTGAAGCATGACTTGATGTTGCCCGTGATTTGTGTTTTTGTTTTAACTGTGGCTTGGTTTTACCTGTGAACTCAGCACACTCTCTTAACCACTGGTAGCCACTTCCTAGCCTGGAGAACCTTCAAAGTGTCAAAAGCATAAGGCAGGAACAGCCTTATGATAGAAAAAGAAGCTTTGGGCTTTTTTCGTTGTCAGCTGAACAATTGGGTCCTTCACACTTGGTGTGAAAAGTCACAGAAATGAAGCGCAAAGCTGATTTGATAGGTGTGTGTTGTGGGCCTCTGGCACAGAAGCAAACGAAACCCCAGAAATTTGATTTGATACGGAAATAATTGTGGTCACTGCCACCTTAGCATAAATCTCCAACTATTATCTGCTTCTTTCCTTCCTTTGGTTCCACTTTATATAGTTTGCAAAGGATGCTCTCTTTTACTTACTGAATTCTTTATGCTTTCTATATATCAAATAGATTATACAATGTTGATGTGGTTATTATTTGAATTTTTATTCCCCATTTTTCTCTCCAATACCCCCAAACATTCAGCTTCTGTTTATTAGGGTTTAGTTTTCACCAGTTATTCTTCATTCAATCTGTATATATCCAAACTGAATTATAATAAACCTGACCTAGAAAGGTTTTTCTTTTAAAAAGAAATTGACCCGAAGTGCTTCAGAGATTCTTGTGTGGTTTTGAGATGTTTGGCAAGAACCCACTTCTGCTCAGCTGCCTCATTCCATTTCTTAACTCAGGAGCTGTAGGGGGAGGGGTTGCACACAAACTCCTAATTTTCCATGGGACTTTGATACAGCCACTCCCTTATTTTAACACCTTGCAGGCTTTCATTCATGATCTGCGGGCTGCATTTGGAGCATACAAAGCTGCCTTGCTGGTTCATTTAGCTCAGGAACATCTGCTCCAGTGTCCCAAGGTAGTAGTGATCTGGCTGAGGGCCAATAAACTGAATCTTGGGAAGACAGATGTTCCATGCATAGTTGGTTCCTGTATCCAGAGGGTAGGCCCACTGCTTGTCCGGGATGACCCTGCACTCCCTCCAAAGGAACAGGTGCATAGATTGGGAATGCTCTTGGATATGTGTTATTCATGAGGGGCCCAAGTAACCGGTGGGTTGCAGTGCCTTTTTCCAGCTT